CAAAATATAATAATACTTTTAATAAAGTTCTCTAGATTATAATGAGCGAATTTCGTCAGTATGTCTCAGCATTTTTGTTTGGGCAAACGATTTAAGGCTATTATCAAAAATAAATTGTGGTTATTATACAAACGAGATATATATTATATTCAGATTGTTTACTTAAGTAATGAGAATATATGGTCTTTGATCATTCAAATCAGTTTGTACTTATTCATTGAGTATTTAATTGTGAAAGTTTTTGATTCTTATAATCATTGTAACGTATTTGATCCATCCGAGTTTTTATATAAGAAACGATTTTAATATGACCATCGAATCAAACGTATCTTGTTTAAAAAATAAAGTTGTCAAATGACTTGTGGATTATCAAAAGATGTGTTCATAATACATGAATTTAACAATGAAAAATTTAAATAGAGTTGGAAAATGAATATTTTATCACGTTAGAAAAGGTTTGATCTGAATTATATTTTATTTGTAATTTTAAATTATCTTTTTCTTTTGATAATTGTGCTTAGAAAAGATGATTATTTTATGCAATGAGATCATCACTTTAAATATATTTTTTTATCATTAATAAATTGTTGCATTTTGTTTTGCTGAACAAAGCGTTTACATATATATATGTAAGAGCTTTAATTTATGTGACAATTATTTTAGCTGAATTTAAGTAAATACATTCCATGAGTCTAAACTAATTTACTGGTATTCCCTATAGTTACCTACCTTGAATTTAAAGATAATAACAGCTGATCACAGAGACTAAAATATCAGTCTGGAAGCTTATGCATTGTAAAATTGTAATCAATATTATTTTATTGTTTTGGCATTTAATGATCTATCAATCGATTTTCATTATACTTTATCAGTCTGTATTGAATTCATTACATTTTTTCATAATCTCTAATATTAAATGCTCTTTATTTATGGTCGGAGTGATTTTAACAATGTTTTCATTTCGTTGCATCTTTTGTGCTGACAAACTATGTCATGCGCGATCTAATGCCAATAGTATATGAAATAAGATGCTGCTTTAGAAAAAAAATAAAACAAATAAAAATTTTTTTATTTTCAGATAATATACATCGAGTTATATTTGCAATATTTACAAATTAATCAACATTTATTGTAAATTTTCATCTCAATATGACAAAAACTAGTCGGTATAATCGGTTAATTCTTCATATAATTTATATTGAACTTATTACGTTATTTTATTTTGTATATATATCTTTTAAGTACAAATACTTTACAGTATCTATCTCGACTATTGAAATAATAAGAGGTAAGAGTGATATAAAAGAAAAAGAAAGTTAACTTCGTTTCTTGGTAGCTTTGTATGTAAACATAGACACAAGCATGTAAGAACGAAGATAGACGAAAACACTTTATCCATTATATCGTTCTGTATAATCGACTGTTTAACAATATGCATAGCGGACGGTCACATCTTTATATTCTTTGTAAGCGAGATATTTGAAATAAAAAAGAAAAAGAAAAAAAATATCAGCCTATTTGTGCATTATATTTAAATGAAATCATCTGACTAGATAGCTTTATGTTAGTGAATAGACCGTCCATCATCTTATTTATATCTCTGCACGTCTGATGCATAACCAGTCATTTTCACATACTGCATACAGTATTTATTATGTTAACGGCGTTCAACAATTAATATTTGAAAGTACATATTAAATCCTTAGGGCATTAATTTTCATCTTTCGACATTTTCATTATTTTAAATGAAAACTGCTTTTCTATTTGACTTCTTTTATTTTTTGGATATTACCTGTTCTTTCAATAACTATAAAGGAAACATGCATATTACTATGTTGTTTTGTATATGTGTAGTAATCAAGAAAACATTAACCATTTCTTTTTCAAATATATTTAACAACGTTTGTGCATTTTTGCTTGTTAGATTCTTCTCTTTCATGCAATAAATCTGTTACAAATACCGTAAATAACCATGGCCAATAATCAATGGCAATTGCTAAAGGATTATTCATCCTTACTTGATTCAAATTTTGATACATTAAATACTCGACCTCGATTTAATGCAAAATCAATCTTAAATGAAGATCTTGATTGGTTATTACTCGATTATTTGAAAGAAATGGAATGCATCGGAATTTCCAACGAACAAACTTTAAATGCTCTACTTACCATGGTTGGTGGTTTATCTAATAACAGTTATTGTCGACATTTGACTACTGGTTCACCGATTTGGTTAAACATTTTCTCACACGTTCTTGGTCCAACAGGTAAATAAATACTATTTTCTTTAAATTTTGAGAAGCAAAAATAAATTTCTGGTAGATGTTAAAAAATTGAATAATCGAATGTTTAGAACAGTTACAGACGCAAGCAACTATTTAGAAATGTTTTATTTACTTTTAGTTTAATAAGATTTAATCATTTTTCTATTTAGAATATCCAACTACATCATTAACTTTCTCTTTGTAAATTATTCTCTCTTAGAATATTCTTCTCACGAATATTTGCGATTGCTTTTTTTCTTGAATATAATGATTTTTTTGTCACAAACTACATACCAATTTAAATAAATCTAATACTTATATATTAGAATGCTTGAGTTAGCCGATACAGTTTATTACGTATAGTTAAGTTTACTGTCAGTAACAGTTAAAGAAGGTCAATCATCATAAGTAATAAGTTTGTTCACCATTTTCTAACATGTTATTAAATCTTTTTTTTCATTGATTTCGCAATATATTATTTATAAATGATAGATTTTTTTCGTTTTTTTCTTTTATAAATACTAGTTATAAGGCACCATATTTATTCTTGCTATAATAGAAATAAAAGTTTTGTTTTACTTTTGATTATTGTTCAATAGAAAAATGTACATCATAAAACGAAAGAACAATTTTGTTAAGGAAAAAAGGTCATTATTCGATTTATAATTTGTTCGTTCATTATGGTAGAGACTTTCAAACGATTTCTTATCATTATAATATGTTTTTTAAATAATAGCTATCTATCAGTTCTTTTCTGAAGAGAATATATATATATATGTTAAGTGAGTAACCCTCCGTGGGTCAATCTGACAAATATTATTAAGAAAAATGTTTCTTTCCCTGCAAACTCAGTCTGGCTGTATCTGATAAGATTGAATGACTATATAGATATTTAAATCTATATGAATTTTCATTAATAAAACAAGGATAATTTCATCAGCATTTAGTTAACGATTATTTTATATTTATTTTAGCTAGTAACAAAAGTTATTTGGCAAATGAATTAATTTATGCACTGAAAACACTTGATAATAAATATCCAACTGTTTATTCAAATCGTAGAATGATGGATGATATTGATCATAATGAAGAACAACCAAATAAAAAACAAAAAACTGAAAGCTGGAGTTTTTTAGCAAGTAGTATGACTGAAGCAGCTTTATCAAAAACTACCAATTTTACCGATGCGATGGTTGTAAATCCTGATGGTGATAGTGCATTGAAAAATTTTTCATATTATGAGCCAAATACAAATGGTAGTGCACAAGGTGTTAGCTGCTTTTGTAATTTCTTTGACGGAATAGAACCAGGTAGTGGTCGTGTAACAGGTGTTGAATTATCCATGAATGATCGTGTTCGTCCATCAAAGTTGACAATATACATTGCTAGTACAGGTAGAAAATTAGCAATACCATTAATGAAAATGGCTAATGAAGGTGGTAACGATGGAATATATGGGCGAGTGTGGTATACTTATACAAATACAGTTTATGAATTACCTGATGTGTTAATCGAAAAACAAGTATCGTTGCCAAACCTGACCCATATAGCAATTGCATGTCATCAATTCTTCCAAAGTCGAACCATTGAATTCCGATATGGATTGTTTAGATCAGACCTTGATGATCGTTCACGAAGTAAGTTAAATGAATCGATTATTTGTTTTTCATCATAGATAAATAATACAGAAAAAAAATGATTTTGAAAAGAAATTATGTTATTTGATAATGAATTTTTAATTATAGGTGAAGTTAGTGTGCATATGAAAAATGCACGTAAAAAACAAAAGGTTCATTTACCCGAATTCCACTCAATTTCAATCGATCAATATGATGTTTTACAACAATCACCACCTGCTAATAATAATGATTCATCTGATCAATTACTTTCTGCATTTCAGTTAGCAACAACGTGCATTAATGAAATATGGGTTGAATCATTTACTTTAGAAAAACATGTTGGTGAAATGTGGCGTAAAATTCCTTATCACTTACCAAAGGCAATAGCTACTTTTAAAGTTGTTCGATTATTATTTCAAATAATGGGTGAACAAATGCTATTTTATCTCAACTCACAGGAGGGTAGTCGTTCCTATCCTTCAAAATTAATTCCTGATACATTTTCGAATAAATTAAATCAAGTAATAAATGATTTTTTCGAAGAATATACTCGAACAATCGAAATCGAAAATAAAAAAATAAAAATTATTTTACTTACATCATATGATGTTGAAGTTGGGTACTCTTGGTGCCGATGGAAGTTGGAAACAATCGCAACTTTATTTTCAACCAATAAAATTCAACACATTGTTGATACACGATTGGGAAAAACAACAACAGATTTCTCATTAACAAAGTATTATATTTTTCACTAATGTATATTTTACCGAGAATATTTAAACTTTGATCAGAATTATAACTCTAAATAGTTTTTAATTTGAAAGAAAACAAAACTGATGATTTAAAAAGACGGAAGACGATTTCCTCTATTTAATAATATATTCAAAAAAAACCTATTTGTTTTTTTCAGAACAATTGATGAACGACGAATGGATCATGCAATGGCAAAAATTTTAATGACTCCAACCATATTTTTTACAAATGGATATTTATCAATAAATACTTCACGAGGTGGAAGTGGTTTGTTCAAGCAAAAAAGTGTTACTGATCTCAAGCGTGACGTGATTATGGAAAATTTATTAAAAAAAGGCTTTCTGGTAAAATGTAATGTTATTCAAGGAGCTCGACCATCAAAGAATAACAATTTATCATCATCTTATTACAAACAACAGCCATCTTACTTTGAACAATCAGAATCACGAATGAAAGAACTTCAGGTACTTTTTTGATTTTTGTAGGTTTAAATTGACAAATAATTGAATGCTCTCAAACCTTTGAGTAGAATCAATTTTGAGTTATGGAAATACAACATCGCTTATTAATAGAAAAAAAATTTCAAATTGACGACAACGAGTTTCAACCAGAGCCTGCATTTTTTATGTTTAGAATATAGGAGTCAATTTCAACGAATACAAAAAAATTTACGACAATTCATCATTGCCGAAAAAAATGCATTTCAATGGTTCTGGTATTGAATTAATTAAAGGTGATGAATGGGTACAATTTTACCATACATTTCTCAACGACCCGATGGCAAAATCAATGATTGAAGATAGAGTTAAACTGGGTCAAATTATTGAATTCAATGGTCGTTTTGGTTTAAATAAATCACATATGAATGATACCATATATGAATCTGGAAAAAAAGCGACAAGTAGGTTGAGTAAGTTAATCCAACTGAATAAATTTATTTTAATTATAGATGAATCAGGTCAACAGGAAGTTGAAGAAAATTTGTATCTTAGTAGTGTTATCAATAGTAAGTTTGTTTTTTGATTATTCTGTTCGCTTACTTGTTTATAATATTCATCTTTTAGATGCATTTTCAGATCAGTCAAATCTACTTGCATCATCATCTTCTGATTTTCTTCCACCAAGACCAACAACAGATGAATCACCAATGGAAATTGAAACTTTCAAATTATTTATTGATAAAGAAAATATGATTGATGCTTTTCATCCAAGTAAATGATTAGTTCAGATTTTATCTCTTTCTGAATACCATCGTCTATATAGAAAAACAGCATTCCTCTTCGTTCTTCAGTCTTTCATATATTTTTAAAGCTAGTGAACAAAACAACATTAAATTGCTAGATTCTATAGTTTTTCATTGCTTAGATAAGCTTAAATTTCTTTTAACTTTAAAACAGACTTGGGCTGATAATAGAGTTTCATTACAGAAAAGACTAGAACGAAGCTAGAAAAAAATACTATGTACATACAAGGAGCGAAAGACAAATTCTCAACCATTTTTATACATCATTTTTTCTTGATGAGAAATTGATTTATGTTGGTTGGCTGTAGTAACTAATCATTCTTTTAGACTCGTTTCAAAATATAAATGCTTCAATATTGTATCCTTTTTTTATTAGCTATAATAATTAATATTTTTATTAGCTGTAATAATTAATATTTTTATTAGTAGATGACAATTCTAATCCACCACGTCATTCAACACCGATCAATAATAAAAATAATTCTTCTTCAACAATTTTACCTGGTATAATTTGTATTGTTCCCTTTGGCACAACAATAAATCATCTCTGAACTTTCTAGTTGATCCTGTAACATCATCTTCCAATCGACCTGATGGTGACGGAATTATGATTTTGTCGTCTGTGATTAATAATGGTTGTTCTTCATCATCAATCAATCGAAATTCTTTAATTCAATCCATTTCAACCGATTTTTCTTCTCCATTACAACTGATGTCAAGTAATTCGATTAACAAAATCATAGAAGTATTAAATAGTTCGTCAATTCAACTTGGTTCAACAAGTCCAAATTGTGAGTATTTTTCTATATTTTTTTGACACCTTTGACAATACCAATAACTAGCTTATCATAACCTGTGAAACAATTTACCGATGATTATAAAATTAAATATCAATGATAAAAATTAAAAAAATTAAATTAAAAAAAGACCGAATGTTCTATTAACCTTAGTGAATTAAATATAAAGATGTAATGAGTCTTGTTTTTAGCATGCGTTTCCTTCTGAATGAGTCATTCATCTCTAACTATTCTGTTCCTTATGTAAAAAATCATCAACAAACGACGTATTTTTTCATTTTATTGATAATTAAAAATTCATAGGGTTTATTTCAATTGTAGATATTATGGAGCATCATCAAAGTCATGAAGACAAACAACCATACATTGATGGTAAGTAAATCTACTTCTGAAAAAACATTTTTTTGATAAAAATTTGACAAGATACAATTACAGAAAATTTAATTGTAGACGTCGTCGTCGATGTACTTCAAGATATGATTGATCTTATTTCAACTGTACCGGTTACTGTTGCAGATACGTCATTGATCATTTCAAGTGAGTTAAAGTGCAGAGAAATCAGTTTTTTGAGAGCTAAAAAAATCTAAGGATATATTTAATATAACTAATATTACAAATCGACAGTAGTAGAAATAAAAAACGCATAATACATTTATGAAAAACATATGTACAGAGATAAAAATTTTGTTTTCAGCAACAACCAAGAAACGTGGTCGTCCATCATTATTACAAACAACTAATGGATCGTCTATTACCACAGCAGGCAATTTCAACTTTCTTTCGTTACCATTTTCGAATTCTTTTTATTTATTATTTTCTAGAAATTGCTAAAGTTGTTGAAAATAATAAGCATGCAATTTGGAAAAAATTGATATTAAACAAGCATGTATTAGCAACAGCGAGTGATCTCTCACGAACTGTAACCGGTAGTGATGAGATTAATGCAGCACGTCAGAGCTGTATTGAAAAACTCTTGGATATTGGTTGTTTTTTAAATGGTGATTCTTTTCTAAATGGAAAACAAAAAGCTTTTTTGAAAAATTCTCCTGAAGATGATCGACTTATTTCGGCACTTAATACATATCACATTGATATGAATGAATACAAAGAATCTTTTAATAATCATCTTCCTTTTATATACAAGAATGGCATACCAGTTCCTGCTGTTTTAAACAACAATACTAACAAAAACAAATTTACACAAGCATTTGTTGACAAGCTTCAATCTGATCCATTTTATTCTGCTTATCTTCGAATCGATCTGAATCATGTGGTAAAGCCCTCATCATTAAAAAGAAAAACCACATCAAGTTATGGTGAGTATATTCCTAGATATTGTTTATTTTATGCTCTTTGTTCCTTTTTAGAAACAGATTTTTTTCGTGCACAAAAAGTTGCAAAACGAGCACATCACGAAAAACAGGATTAACAACCAACTAACCCCAAAGAACATTGAGGTGTAATGATAAAGAAAATATTCAAATTTAGCGAACAATATGAAATCAACAATTAATTTTAAAAAAAGACATAAGTATTTGTATACTTCTACGTGATTTTTTTTTCTTTCTTTGATAAATCTTCTAATTCGAAACTTGTATTTTGTTCGATCTAGTTTTCATTTTTACAATAACTTCTGTTGAAAGATTGTATTTTATCTCTTTTGTTTCTATCACCTTATGTATTGTTTCTTTTTCAACATACGTATCAAGATTCTAATACATTTATCAGTTTTATTTTTCTGTGTTATATACATGATGTTTTCTGTATATTTTTATTTTTATCTTTCTATACATATCATATAGTTTTAATATTGATGTATAATCATTCATCATATTTGTACTAAAAGTGAGAAATATCGTTGTTTGTATTTATTTGTCCGTTTTATATGCGTTTATTCATTTACTCACTATTTTTTCTTGTTATATTTAAAATCTTGTCGCTATAAATTCCTATTTATATTATGAAAATGTTCAAAAGAAATAATAGAAAGAAATAAAGAAGAATTAAATTAATCGTTTCTCTTTGTCTTTTAAGGTAAAAAATTAAGTAGAGAACATTTCACTCTTCTATGCGAAAAGCAATTTAATCTAATATGACAATTTCTTAACGTAGAATCATGAGATTTTGATTTAAATAAACTAAAATAATAACTTTCATTTAATCTTTATAGAAACAAGAATGGATACGAAACAACGATTCATGAATCTCCTTAATATATTATCGTTTAAAGCTACTCGTTTACTAATTGCTTTTGAATATACAATGCCATCATATTTAAAACCGAAAAAAACATCATCTGTAACAACTGCGCGAAATCAATTTGCACGTGAATTAATCCAGCACGAACTTCAAGAAACATATTCATTCGACCAGATACTTTATTGTAGAAATATTATTAATGCTAATACAACAAGTAAAATGGAAATGGGAATTAATATTGACTTGCAAGATACAATTAATCGTTTTAAAATCAATCACCCCCATCATCCATATATACAAGATTTAAATACAATTTCATTAGTACCATTTCGTACAACGTGTAACAATATATTAGGTGATATTGAATGTGGTAATCAATTAAAAATCGAATTTCATATGACAGGTTTTATTCTTTATCCAACATCAATTCAACCGTGTACATTATATAGTGGTGAATGTGGTAGTTGTAATAGAAGTTATCGTATATCGTCAATCTATTGTTACAATGAGAAAAAAATTATTATTACTCCAGAATCACTTGAACAAAATAATTTTTTTCATTTATCATCTGGTAAATTAGTGTTTTCACGTGAAATCCTTGTATCTTTTTCTTCGGATCTTGTTAATGGCCATGTTAGTTGTAATGGTGCCGGTACATCTTTATTATCAAAAGTTGCACGTCTTCATCCTGAATTTAATAAAAAATTTGATTCGGTACAAATAATTCGTTCTTTGGAAGCTCATTGGATTTACTTCGAGCTTTTTAATTTTATCTTTATGACAAGTTCAGAAAAAGAAATTGTTGCTCCACGTGCACTTTTTGCTGGTAAGATTTAAGAAAACTTGAAACCTTTCAGGAAGAAAATAAAATTTTCTAATTGTCAATTACAGAAAAATGTCAAATATAAAGTTTATTCTAAGCAAATACTTATTATATTTAAATACTATTTTTTTTTCTTAGGTCGAAATATTCAAGCTGGTGGTATAATAAATGTCAAAGCACAATTTCTTGAAGAACGTTTAGATTGGATGTACAACCTATTCAGTATCTTTTGGTCACATCACAATCTCATTCCTGAATGTGTTTGTGATAAATCAATTTGTTCACGAGTATTAGTTCTCGATGGCCATCAAAAGCCCCGTCGTACAGTATGTCGTTTTGATAATGTAACATCACTTGTGAACCAAGAAGAATTAGGGCCCTGCAATCGTGGTTGTCCTTATCAGCCCAAGCGGCGTACACCTGATAAAAAAAACAAGAATAGTAAGTATCTGAAATTCCTTTATAAAAGTCTATGGAGCTCTAATTATATAAATTTCTACTTTTTAAAAAGCGGTGTTATTTTTGAATGAAAAAAGAAGTTAAAAATAGGTTGTAAAATTATTATATTAAAAAACTTTGTATAAATATGATAGAAAAAAAATATTCTCATATCTTACATAATTGTATGTTTGAAATTATGATTCCTTTAGTAATAACTGATCTGAACAATAACGTCATATAATTCATTTTTTTTATTTAGAACGCTCTCCACTTTATTGCTATTTTCATCAAAATTTAGAAGAAACAATGTCTTTATCGACAAAGGAACACAATCAACGTGAACAAGCATGGTATAATGAATTAAAATCTATTCAAAAACAAAATATTTTGAACAATAATACAACACATGAATCATGTAACGTAGTTAGATCAGAAGAAGTTGGTAAAGATGAAGAAAAACGTCGAAGTATGGGTTTTCTCGCTTCATTTTTATCATGTGGAATCATCATAGGGTTTACGGAATCAATCAACCATGAAGGGGTCCGCATGGTTACTGATCATCTTTTAACCATGATCAAAATGGGTACAAAGTTACCTAATGCTATGATTTATGATGCTGCATGTAATTTAAAATTATTCTGGAATAAACAATACCGTGGAATCCACTTGAAAGAAACTCCCTCAAGCACAAGTTTGTTCAATATGCGGGTAGCCGTTGACAGATTTCATCATAAGAATCATGTACATAGCATATGCAAGACAATTACTAATCCTGATTGCGCATTAACTGGAAATGATGAAATTTATCGTGGTATCAATACAAGCATTGCCGAGCAATCTTTCAGATATTTAAGTGAATTTAAATTGTCGTTACGTCGATTGGCATATCCAACATCAACAGTTTTCAGTATTTTATTACTTCATTTATGGAATTGTCGTCGTATTCAAATTTCACCAGATTCTTTCGGTTTAGGTGTCAAATATATGTCTGATAAAATTAAACCATTATTTCTTACATATTGTATATTCGAAACTGCACAATTATATCAAAAAAAAGTTGAAATAGAATCATTCAATTTAACCTATATACAAGATGATGATGTTGATGATGATGGAAAGATTAATATAGAAACAAGTGATAATAATGTTGAACAATTAAATTATGATTGTTATGTTAACATGGAGCAATATACTTGGGATTCGGATGAATCAGGTGATGATCATAAAGATTAGTTCAACAAAAATATAGCAGTGAGTTTTTGTTTCTCTGTTACATAATATTATAGAATATTTTTTTAATTCAGATTTTAATATAAAAAAAATATTATAAAATTATAGATAATACATTATCAAAATTTGATCTATGAATAAAAGGTAAGGTAGCTTTTTATTATTATAAACTTTTATCATCTTTTTTCATATTTCATTCTAGTGCTTATTCAATAATTATTATTTTCAACATTTAATGTCTCTTGTCGATCAACGTGAACGTTTAAATCCAGTATTCATTTTTCTATGTTTGTATATTTCTCTGTCGTGATCTTTCTTTATGAATATTATAACTTCAAACATTGTTATCCAATATATTTGTTATTTATTAATCTGCACAACTTCATGTGTCTGCTTTTTTTTGTATTTTTTTTTGCTATATGATAGTTAATTGACCTTCTCAACGATTAAAATACTTAAATCTATTCAATTTGAACCATATAACACAAGATATATTCATTTAAAGTGAATAAGTCTTATTGGGCAAGCTAATGGTGAACACAATCTCAGATAAGTAAAAAATGAGCGTATGATATCATTCATTCAAAACATATCATCACATGACAATTTTCACATACTACCAAATATTATCTTAATTATATTTAGTTAAAAATCTCTTTCAAATATCTAATAGACATTGGCTAATTATAATTAATTCAATCATTATTTCTATTTTTAATTGTTTTATAGATTAAATTTATTTAATTATAGATAGCTGAAATTAATAATAATCACGCAGTGAAAAGTAGTAAATTAAAAGTGTAAAAAAATAATATAGATGATAAAATGAAATAAGACATAAGGCAATAGATTAAATTATAATTAATCAATCTACTAAAAAAAAATAGATAGAGGTAAAAGTTTTGATAAATTGAATTGAAATATAATACAAATGATAAGCTGAATTTTGCTGACGTTTTCAATGAGAATTTCGTTCATCAGAAGTCGATATTAAACGTACAATTTTGACAATCGATATTTTTTTGTTCGCTTTATTATGTATGACGGTGGTACCAATGAAGACGAAGAAACATAGATGTCGTTCCTTAATAATATTACCGTGTGATCCTATCTGTATCATTATTATGCATTAAAAAAAGGAAAATATATAGATTGTTAAAATCATATGCTTAATATCAACTTCTCATGAAGGACAATTTTCACTGCAAACGTCAACAAAATTTTGCTTATCATTGATATTATATTTCAATTCAATTTATCGAAATTTTTACTTTTAGTTAATTTCATTTCCATTTGATCGAACAATTATAATCTAATCCATTTCCATGTGCTTTATTTCATATTATCATCTTTATTGTTTTTTTTTACATTTTTAATTTACTACTTTTCACTGCATGATTGTCATTAATTTCAGCTATTCATAATGCATTCAATACAATTATAATAGCATTCCTTAACAGACACCAATAACACCAAATAATATCATATAACATATCATTGAAATATACACTTTCTTCACCAAAAAATATTATAAAATAGTTCGCAACAATATGTTATTGCATTCATTTTTAAACCTGTAAACAATAATATAATTTCTTTTTTCATGGGTAAAATATCAATATATCTATGCCAACAAATAAATTTTTTCTACAAATATACATAATTTTCTATTCTAAATTGACAAGCTTCAAACTGCCACATTCTTCCGTCTAACCTAATAAACGATGTTCTTCATATACCAAGCTAACCACAACAATAAAATGAGATATAGAACGAAACCGAAAATCAAGCTGTAGTGAAAATTGTAATCCATTGCACTAATCAACAAGTAATGTTCATCGAGAGTCGATTCACTTTTCCCTAGACTGACAAATTAAAGACATAGATGCGACCGCATGTGAACATAAACATACTTAAGTAAAACGCTAGATAAATAAAAGAAAGATAGTTGATTTCATAAAAAGAAGTCATTTGTTTCATAAAACAAATAACAGAGACAACAGAGAAGGTTAAAGGTGGCTACGCCCCCAGAAATTTTTAAAAGATCATTTTCTAAAGCTGATGATCACGTATATCTGAAGAATTTAAAGGACACAGCTCCCATCCCCTTGACAAGAAGCTGTGGCAACGTCTGTAACTGATGTGGCACTCCAAAACTGTCTCATAACGAAAAAAATAAAAGAAACTTTATTACTTTGACGTTGATGATATATTAATAATGAGACAGTAAAAAAACGAATCGTGTCCTTCTTGCCACACTAATAATGGTTATTTTGTAAAAATGAACACTGACGTTCATTATTGTATTGTAGAAAAGACTTTTAGAGTAAACACTTATGTACTAAATCAGCTTACTAATTAAAAAACTCACTAATTAGAGATAACTGATTTTTAATCTCTTATTTTTCGAGTGAAAATAATAAGAGTGACCCTTGATACATTTTGAAACATCATGAATTCTCTCATAATGTTGTATAATTAAATCGAAGTCAATATGATAAAAAATTATCAAACACTAAAAAATGTACGTCAATAAAACAGGTGCCTAATTTTTTCGTTAAATAAAAGCTTGACTCATTGAAATTGGCGCTGAATGTTTTTTGCGACTTATTTTAATCATAGTCACCAATTGGTAACTAGGCTTCACAGGGAGAGAGAGATAAACAAACAGGCACAGATGAATTTTTCGTCCTAGACTTTAGCCTTTCATTCTAGGGAATAACACTCTATTCCCATTATATCAATGACATCTCCTTTTATAATAAAAGCAACTTATCGGCGAAGGGTACATATTATAAAACTCGAGAATCCAAGAACTCCTTAGTCCCCTAAGTGCCTTAGTCCCTTTAGCCCCTTAGTCCCTGTAGTCCCTTTAGTCCCTCTAGTCCCTTAGTCCCTTTAGTCTCTTTAGTCCCTTAGTCCCTGTAGTCCCTTTAGTCCCTGTAGTCCCTTAGGTCCCTTTAGTCCCTGTAGTCCCTGTAGTCCCTTAGTCTCTGTAGTCCCTTAGTCCCTGTAGTCCCTTTAGTCCCTTTAGTCCCTTAGTTCCTTTAGTCCCTTAGTCCCTTTAGTCCCTGTAGTCCCTTTAGTCCCTGTGGTCCCTTTAGTCCCTTTAGTCCCTGTAGTCCCTGTAGTCCCTTTAGTCCCTGTAGTCCCTTTAGTCCCTTAGTCCCTTAGTCCCTTAGTCCCTGTTGTCCCTGTAGTCCCTTTAGTCCCTTAGTCCCTGTAGTCCCTTTAGTCCCTTTAGTCCCTTTAGTCCCTGTAGTCCCTGTAGTCCCTTTAGTCCCTTTAGTCCCTTAGTCCCTGTAGTCCCCTTAGTCCCTGTAGTCCCTTAGTCCCTGTAGTCCCTTAGTCCCTGTAGTCCCTTTAGTCCCTTTAGTCCCTTTAGTCCCTTAGTCCCTGTAGTCCCTTTAGTCCCTGTAGTCCCCTTAGTCCCTGTAGTCCCTT